GCGCCCTCCTTCCCGCGCGGTTCGACGTGACGCGCGCTCCGGCTCTCCGCTACACTCTCTACCCGCCCCTTCTTGCACGGCAGCAACAGTCACCCCTATCTCTGTTCTCACCCAGACCCGGCCCCGCCCGGTCCTCAGTCCTGTAAATAGTGACCGTAGAACAACCGCAAGCCCTGCAGACCCACGTCCCATGTTCCGGTGGTGGCGGTGGTGATGGGCGTGGGTTGTGGGGTAGAAGAATAAGGCGGGATGAGGGGAGGTGACACTTGCAGCGCGCTCACTTCCGGAGGACGGGCGGAAGTGGCTGCAGTGGATGGTGGGGGGGAGGGGAGGAGCTCGAGGGGAGGGCTGGGCTGTCGGGGGTCGAGGGGGGGGGGCCTGGGCCAGCTGTGGGGACCCGGCCTGGGGCCTGGACTCCCGGCCGGGGGGCGGGCGTCGGCTTCCTGCCGAGAGAGGGCGGGCGGGATCCAGGTAACGACCCAGGCAGATAGGGCGAGGGTCGTACGGGCGGCGGAGGGGTTGGAGTCAGAGTCTCGGGAGGGTCGCTGTCACCCCCTTCCCAGGTGAATACGGCACGGCGTTTCCGTGGAGAAGGGTGGGAGGAGTTAAAGTCTGCGGGGGTGGGTCGGGGTCATGTGGACGCCACGCCCCTACAGGAGAGAAATGAGTGTGTGTGTGTGTGTGTGTATCTGTGTTTAGAAATAAACTTGGAGGGGGCTGCAGGGGTGGACCTCCGGACTGGGGAATTGGAACACTGTGGGGCTGCTGCAGGCAAGACTCGGGCCTCAGGCATTCCAGGATAGTAGTCTCGGGAGTGGCCCCAGGAAAGAGTTTGACAGCCATTAGTAATTACATCCCTGGGCCAGTTTTGGAAGCTAAGGGGTAGGTGAAGGTGAAGGGGAGGTAGCAAAGAATGTATGTGGAAGGTGTCAGCATCTAGGTCTGGCATGGATTTAGTTCAGTTGGGGAGAGCTAGCCGATTAGAACACCGAACACCCTAAGAGGCTTGGGAGATGTAGGGCGATTAGTATGTGGCACCAACAAGACAAGAGGTCAGGAAGGGGTTGTTCTTTTCCGCATTTCTTAGAAGACAATCTCCACACACCGTCAGTGCTTTTGGTTACTTGTCTGTTGTGAGAATAGTTGCGATCCTTTATCCTAAGCCATATATGTGGATACATATTGATGGGGTGACTGTGTTTTGGGGGGACAATATGTGAGTGAAGTGGGTACTTTGTATATAACCTTGAGTGTTTAAGGAAGGATTTTTCATAGTAGAGCATAGTGAATAAGTCTAATTTAGGCAGGGAGTCTTAGGAATCCATTTGGGTATATAATAGATTAGAGAGTATCATAATATTTAAATATTCCACAGGTTAACGCAGAAATCGGCCTCTGGGGCCATGCCGGTTCTAAGGCCTGTTTCTTCTCCTGAGTCCCAGCAGAAGACAGATGGCCTAGTCCTCACAGTGGATGACTTCCATTCCCTGAGGAAGAGATGGGATAGTACCTGGGATCCACCCATCACCAGACTCTGGGCTTAACAAGCCAGCTGAATGAAGGGATGTAACAGACCCCTGGGAGGGACACTGAAGCCTGCAGTGGGGGGGGAGGGGCCTGGACATACCCCTTCCCCCCCAGACTCCTCCCCCTCAGAGTCCACGCAACCATGGACTTTGGACCTGGATAAGAGGAGAGAAGCTGCACTTTGGTGTCTCTATTTTGGGATTCTCAGTTTTGGAAATGGAGTGCTGGATGGGTGTTTGATGATCTCCAAGGGAGAAGCTGGGAGAAGAGAAGAAAGGTAAGGTTCCTGTCTCATTTCCCACTTGGTGTCTTGCTGCCCCTGTGCAGAAAGTATTGAGTGGGGCAAGTCTGGGGATGCTGGCATTCAGGAAGTACCCTGATAAGAACCATCACCTTGATGGGTACACAAGAAGCTTCACCTCTCTTTCACTCTCTCAGAGTGCAGACTTGTTTCCAGCCACTCCTCACCCAGGAAGGGGTTGTGAGCAATGGCAGTTGTGAGGTTAGGCCAAGGAGACTATGAAAAGAATTCAGCCCTCTGAAGGGAGGTTGGATTAGACTACCTGAAAGGGCCTTTCCAACACCGAGATAATAGGATCCCAAGTCATTTGGGGCTACACTGAGACTGGGGTGGATTACCCCGGCAGAGGCAGGCAGTTGTGTTTTGAAGAGCTGAGTAGATCTGTCTTGAGGTGGTGGGTAGGCAACGGTCAAGATAACCTCCCAGTTGTCTCTCCTCCTTCTCCTAAAAAGGGAAGAGCAGAGGAACAGAGCACAGCATCGGACATCAGTAGGGCTTGTGTTCTAGCTCTCATTTTCTTAGTGTACAACCCTAGATATGTTGGTTAATCTCTGTGGAGTTCTCTTCACTTGGAATTTGAGAATAACTAGCTTTCCTAGTCCTTCACAGGTTGTTACAAAGGAGCAAAGGAAATGATAGAAAAAAAAGTGTAGGTATAAAACAGTAACACTGACATTGCCTGATATGCTTATATAATTGTTACATAGAGAAAAAGCTCTCTAAGTTCTTCTATTGAATTCGTGTGTTGGCAAGGCTTTTGTTAGTCTTAATGGAAAGGCTGCCCTGAATTTGTCTCGTCATATGGCTAGTAACAATACCTGGGGTCATCAAGTTATGGAAAGGCAAATGGGTCCAAGGAGGACTTAGATTGAGAGATTCTGGCCCCCAGGCCTTTCCAGTCAGTGTGGCAAGTGTGCCTTTTCGAGAATGTAAGCCTCAAGGGCTTAAGGGCCAAGGGTCTGGTTAGGAGATGGAGCTCTGTTTCTTGGCGTGAGTGCTGGCTGGGCCTTTCCTTCCTGTGCCATATCCTTGTCTTTCCTACTCTTTACGGTGACGGTTTTTTCAGACTGCCATCTCTTAGCCCTTTATGTTTTTGCAGGCTCTCTTCCCACTGAAAGGAGACCTGTTCAGTTACCTTCTCACTCCCTGCCATTCCTTCCTGGAACTCCAGTTTACTTTGCCGAGATGCCTGCTTTTCTCAGTGCCAACAAAGGAGAAGGTGTTGGGAGAAAGGAAAGGTGTTGGGAATTTTGATAGGCACTAGAGTATGGTGGCCTGGGTGAGAGGCAGGAAGCTTGGCTTATGGTATCTCTTTACCTCTCACTAGCTGTGTCAGCATCTGGGTCTCACATTCATAGGGAGCTAACAACAATAACAGGTCATTGGCAAGCTGAAGATCATGTATTTATGACTCAGTTTCTTTTTTCCCCTCCTTCCTTGCCATAGGAGTACCTGACTCCACCGACTGGGGGTTGGGCGGGCAGGCAGGCTTGAGTGGAGTCCCTGGTTCTGAGCTGTTCCTTCTACTCTGGTCCAATGCCTAAAGGAGCCCCTTTTCAGGCCGGCCTTCTACTTTAGGAGGTCCAGATTTCAGGGAGGGCATGTCATCTCGTCCCACTTCACCCAGCAAATTCCTGGTGCCAGTCATTGCTTAGGCATGGGATCACAGCGATCCCTCAGGTATGTGTGGTCTCAGGATGTCACTGTGGCCCTCCTCCCACCTGGGAGGCTTGTGAGTGCTTTGAAACTCTTGAAGTACCTGGAGTTGTGCTGTTCATGTATAGTGCTTACCTTATGTGTGGTGTCCAGGCTATTGTGTCAGTTTTTGTCACCACATTGTTGTGAGCAGGAGCGAGAGGGATTATTTTCCCGGTTTGATAAGTGAGAGGAAGCTACAGAAGCCCTGAGCAGGAAGGGCTTGCTGGAGGGTGGAGGGGCAGGCCTGTGATTGCCTGCCCAGTGCTGTGCTGCTTCTGCAGTGTCTGACCTGCCTGAGGCCATCTAGATTCTGCTGCAAACCTCCAGGGAGGGGGAACTCAGTGCCCTGTCACACATTTCCTCCTTGGAGTGAGCCAGAATTCCTCTCCCTTGTCATTTCCACCTGCCCTCTGCCTGACCCTTCCACAAGACAGTCCTCTCAAGACAGCCTTTGGCCTTCTCATGTGGGCATCTTCTCACAGGGGCACCAGAATGTTCAGGCCACTTAGCCAGGACCAGTGACAGACTTGACCAAATGTTGAATGTGTTGTATAACTGAACTTATATACATCCTTCTTTCTTCCAAAAGGATTGTGGGTGGCTAACCAAAAGTTCCACTTCACACATGTTGCTCAGTAATTGTTGTGTTAATCTTTTCTCATTTCTTTGATCTCGTGAGCTGAGTTTCTGGGGCTCCATGGGGAAGAGGAGCTGTTGGGAGGAGGGAAGAGGAGGAAATAGACACAGCATTGATTTAAAACATTGCTTTTACTTCTAATGCTTTCAAGCCGAGATCTGTCTTAAGTTTAGAGCATGAATTCTTTCCAATTATAAAAAAAAAAAATTCAGGTTATCTCGGGCATGGTTAATGGGAGGGCAGTTTCCTGAAACACTGTTCACTTCCTTCTCCTTATCGCTCCATCCTCTTCTGGAAGTGGACGGGTGGGCAGGATACAGTATTTCTCTTTCTGTGCTCTCTTTTTCGGCAACCAGACCTTCCTATGTCTTCCATTTTCACATAATCCAGTCTGAGTTTCATCCCCAGGGTCAGGCTCCTTGTTTCTTCTGCCCTTCCTTCCCTATAACCCTCCCCCATGAAACCTCCATCAGCAGCCCAGGACCTCTTTTCCCAGGTCAATTTAGTACTCACCATCTTGGCTTCTTGCCTCTCAGACCAAATGTTTTCTCTTCCAGCTCAGAATAAGCCCATCCCAATTCTCTAACCAGGCCCTTTCTGCTTGAGACTGTCCTCCTGCAATTGGTGAATGTCTACTCTTAGGTCTTCCTGTGAGCCTTGGCATTGAAACAAAGGACAGTAGTGATGAGGTGTGAGTTATGGTGCACAGACAGCCCTCTGTCTTGTTCCTCCCTGAAATGTCTTAGTTGGAGAAGAATTATTGTTAGAGGTGGGAATCTGATATCTCATAGGCTAGTTGGTGTTTCCCCTTTCAGCATCCCACTATGTCCTTTTTCCTGGAGAACGATTTTAGCTCCTGATAGCTTGGATCTACAAAACATTGTTTCCCAACTTTTTATACTTTTCAGAAACTTCATCCTTTTCCATCTTGCCTTGACATGGAGTATGAGTGTGTAGGCCTCCCATGTCCCCTACATGAGGAAAAGCTTAGAGTGGAGGCAGAGGTGCAGACACTGGCCACCGGCTGGCACAGGAGCGTGGGCTTGCATCTCCTGCCATAGTCCACGCAGTCATTTAAGCTGGAGACTGTGAACACACACACACACACACACACTCTCTCTCTCTCACACACACACAAAACCAACCCCAGTTGCCCTGAAGGCCACCTCCAGAGTAAATGTCCTTGGAAGAAGTCCTACTCTACATATTGTCCATTGCAAATGAATAGTGACCAGCTTCAAAGGTTTCCTTCCATAGGGAGGTAGGCTTCTGCAGTAGCCTGTCATGCTGGACACACAGCTGTCTCAGGGCACCTGCACTAAAGGCTGCACAAGGAAGGCGCTGAACGCCAACTTTAGAGGCCGGAGTGCCTGGATCTAAAACTGCCATGTCCTCCACTATGTCCTGTGACCTTCAGCAGTTGGCACCTACCCTTAGCCTCAAACTCCTCTGTAGAACAAGATGATAATGCATACTCTGCACAGCTGCAAGGAGGGTTAAAGGAGAGGCTGAGGGAGGGGTCTGCCATGTGGAGGCCTCTGTGCAACTGTTTTAAGCACCTGAAGTCCATGCGAGGCCTTTAGCGCATGCCCTGCTTTTTGTTTCTTTAGAACCTTGAATAACTCCTGGTTTCATGTAGAAACAAATTAGTGAACCAAGTCAGTCAGTAACTGCACATCACAAAGTTCCGGCCTGCTCTGCAGCACTGGGGAGGGAAGAGGATGGCATAGGTTCTGGTGCCTGTAGAATGTGTCCTGAGCACATAGTAGGGTTGGCCCTGGGCTCAGTCCTTCTCAGAAAGTCATTTGCAGAGCAGCCAGTAGTTCTCAGGGTCAGATATAGACATCTAGCTTTTCCGGATTCTGCCCCCCATCCACAAAAGTCTGTGATTGAATCCTTCCCTCCTTAGGTCTGGGGGTTCTACCTTGGGGAAAGGTATGCCTCTGCCCTTTCACGCAGAACAGCTGTCATTCCCCACCCCCCAAAGAAAGAAACCACAGCTGGCCCTCTGCGGCTTTTGGCAGCAGGTGTTTCCCCTCAGCTTCCCTTCTGGCGCCCTGGTTCCTGTTCTCACATCCCTGCACCAGCGCCCCTCTGTTGCCCATCTCCTCCTTCCCGGAAGCTAGCATTTGGGGGTTGGTCTTGGGTTTGGCGAACGCACTACCCGAGCTGCCCGCTGCCTGGGAACCTCAGGCAGGGCTCTCCCCGCAGACTCCGCCAGGCTCTGGTCTCCGAGGCTAGGGAGAAAGAGACGCCGGTAGAAGCCTGGCCTGGAGGCCTTGAGGGTGGGGTCGGGTATCGACCAAAGCAGTTGCAACTGGGAGCAGGAAAAGGGACCCAGAGTAACAGCCGCCTGCACGGCGCCTCCCACAGTTGAGGACCTGGGAGAACTTTGGCTGAAGGGTGGGGGCGAAGAGGCGAGCCCGGGAAGGCGGGGCCCGAGGCAAGTCTGGGAGGCTGGCCCTGCCCCTCGGCCGGCCCCGCCTCCCCGGGGAAGGGCCACGTTGCCCGCGCCCAGGCCGGGCCTCAGCGCGCGGCAGGGAGGGCCGGCCAGGCGGAAGGCTCCTGTAGCCGCGGGAGCGCCAGGGACGCGCTGGGGCACCAGGCTCGCTCCCCGCTTCTGGCTCAAGTTCGGAGCCGG